CGACTTAAAATGGACATGAAAAATGTCATCAAAAAAGCACAACAAAGAATGTTCTTCCTGCGCCAACTCAGAAAAGAATTCAATTCAATTCTATTCTATTCTACTCTATTCTACCCTACCCCACCCTACTCTACTCTACATCATCAATGCTCTTAATAAAAAGCCTATATTATTATCATTTCAAATAAAGGTATATTTTCAAAAAAGATATCTATTAATAAACATGGCTAAATTATTGGTACTTAAAACTTTAGCTAGTACCCATGTGGAAGTATGTAGTGAGTAGAGGTCTTGATTACACATACATTACACAGGTTCAAAATTGTGTTGTTATATAAATACTTTGACAAGTCAAAGTAGTTCTTATTGTGGTGGTGGCAAAATCACTATTAGTGAGAATGAGACAGACTTTTTTTGTTGAAGTGATTATTTTGGGACAGCCTATATAACATCAATATTTCAAGAAGTACTACCAGTGACATGGATTAGATGCTTATTAAAGACTCTATATATTCCCAAAGATCATAATTACTGAATGTTTATCCTACCTCTGTGGTACTTTAAGATATCTTTGGCAGAGAAAGATGTATAAAAGGTGACTAAAGAATAAGAGCAATAACTATAAATATAACTGACTACTGAAGCAAAACAGACAATTAAATTGGAAGCATCTAAATAATCTGGTAGATAGAATTTGAAATCTTCTGAGGCATTCTCCTTGGTACTGCTTGTAAAACATGCAGTACTGACAGATGTAGCAGTCTCAGCCATCTCTCCAGAGTATTTGCAACCTCCAAAGTATCTTTTTGTGGAAAGGTGAGGAGGCGGCTACTAAAGCCAGGTGCAAAATCTAGATATACAGTATGTACTCTAATAATAACAACAACATAGTCATTCCAAAGCTGTGCTGGTGAAAACAGTTATTTGCTGAAGTCTTCTCTTGTATCTAACAACTAAGAAATTATGTAAAGTGTGAAGAAACATAGAAAAACTCTAATCATCTAACCCTAGAAATATACTCAAGAAATAAAGCTGACAAGTTTATACTTGAAATCAGTGAGAATGTCTTGTCTTCTAATAAAAGATTTTCCATCTACAATTGCCAGACTCATTTTTCCTTTCCTCATAAGCAAATTTATGGTCGTATATCTGTTTTCTATGTAGCTTCATCTGCTGTTTCCAATTTTATCATCTGAAGCAGAGTGGGATGAGAAGTTTCCATCCAAAGAAATAATACTTCCTAAAGTAATGATTGGGAGAGCCAATTAAATACCTTCATTAGCTCTCTCAGTTTATACTTCAGTTTCAAAAATATACAGTATTAGTCTTCAGTGTTAGCAGGGCAGAACTGGAAATGGAAGAATTAATATTTAGAGTTACAGTCAACAGAAATATACTTAAGAGAGCTGGGAACATAAAGCGGATGGGTCATTTCTTCCAGAACTGTTTTAATGCTGTTTAGGTTTCCTGTTTCCATTGTTTCCATATCCTCTTATCAAAGACAATCTTAAGATATAGCATGTCTTCTTTTGTTAAAATGTTGTAAACACTCTGGATAATGTTCCCCACTGTTTTATGGAAAGGCAAACATGGCTGTTACAATAGTCATCTGAAAATAAATGGATATCTAAATCTATGGTATGAATTACTATCCCAAAAGAATCAGAAGCATGCCATCCCAAAACTATTTTGAATGACATTTATATTACCTCATATAAAAATATTAATGTTACTCTATTACACATTAATTTCAAGAAGTTCTGCCCTGTAACTGTATCTATCAAAAATGTGGACAGAACATGAATCTTGGTGACAAGGGGTTAAAGTGCAGTATTGCAGGCAAACTCTGCCAACAGCCTGCAGTTCACTCCTAGCAAGGCTCAAGGTTGCCTCAGACTTCTATCCTTCCTTGGTAAAATAAGGACCCCGATTGTTGGAGGCAATATACNTTTAAAAAAATCATACAAAATAACAAAAAGTGTATGGTCTAATATGTTATTTCTTACTAAGAATCTATTTTTTGTTTAAGGGAACATCAAAACATTCACTCTTATTTGTAGATGGATGTGGTATATTTCTATACTCTCAACAGCTATTGTTTGATTCAGATCTAACATGTCTCAATTTATAAAATAAACATGCATATATAATACACCCATGGATAACCTCCTCCTTTGATGAACAGTCACTTATATATAGTGCTAAATCTTATCTTTATCAGATACACCTACTTTTGTGGCAATTCCAGGCTAGAGGTTTTGCATTTTAGAACGTGAAATTCATTTCTAGATTTGCCCTATTAACACCACCAGCTGTATTTACTCATTACTGAGCCTAAGCCAATTAATTGCAGTTAGAAGAGCTTGTTATGAAAGAGTCTGTGGGAGTAGAAGTGTCTTCATAGGATGTTTGAAGCCTTGAGATGAGCCTCTAAGCTAAACATACTGTTGATTGTAATGAAAAATAGTCACTTTTCTCACATGAAATCAATAGTAGGATGGGAAGTAATGAATTGTATGAGTTGGGTCTAGTATAATTGGGTCTCACACTGCAAGTTGTCTTGGTATGAAGGTGTAAAAACCAAAAGCCAGTGAAGACTTTTTGCTGCCATCTGCTGTTAGGAATCCATAGCTCTAAACCTGTTTGTTGTTTCTCTGTTGGCAGTGATTGCAGTGTTTCAGTTATGCCTCAGATACACATATACAAATAAAAAGACTGTTGTCCAAATATCCACATTAAATAGAATCCAAGTAAATGAATAAATGCACACACAGAGAAATCTTCCTACATAGATGACATTTATATTTTTTATTTTTGTTATTTTTAGGACCGGCTTGCTTTGCTGTTTTTTAAGACGTATATTTGTTTTAAATTAAACATGCCCTATATCTGAACAAAAAAAAACAAACATGTACCTACTATCACAGGGAGCTCTTACGATGTAGCTTTAGAGTGAACTAGGTTTTATTATTCCTTGGTAATGTGGGTGTTTAAAGTGTTTCAAATTAGAAATAGCAATGGGCACTTAATAATCTTAAGGTTCTATCAAGTGTTTTTCACTCCACCTCACCTCTATAAAACTGTTAGTGAGGTAGTGAAATTTTAAGTCAAATAAAAACACTGATATATATTCCAGACTGATAGGAGACTAGTTTTAAAAGCCCATGACAAAACAAACATGATAGAAATATATTTACCACTCTTTTTACTTCAATTACTAACTAAAAGGCTAAAAATGGCAGTTAATAGTATTGTTACACAATTCCTTCAGCCATCTCAACTAAAAGTATATACAAACTAGCCTTATTAAACTACATACTGCTTTTTATGCATAAAAACAAAAGGGATCAGTTTGTAGCATTTTCATTTTAATACATTTTGTACAATATATTTTGTTTTAAAGTATACAGTACCTACAGATAAAAATAAATTGGGACTGAAAATGTATAAGTCTGTTTTGCTGAAGTGTTAACTAAATACTATACTATTCTGTATATTTCAGCAAAAGTTAATTTCATACAAGTTGTGTTAATCAAATAATCACAATTTCAGTACTCTTTTCGGCCATATGTGACTTGACCAACATCTTCAGGTTGATCCCACCAACTTTCCACCTTGATACAGTAATCAATTTTACAGATTTAATAGGAAAGTCAGAGTTATTGAGGCTAAGTCCATTTTTCCTTTCTAGTTCATTTCCTTCTTTTTTCTATTACCTCATAAAAGGTGAGGAACATATCAGTGCTTCTCCAAATAGCAATAACCTCTAGTCTTTAAGCTTAGTCTATTTCCTATTCAAGTGTTTCCAAGTTCAGCAGCCTTAAGATGTGTGTAGACTTTTGACTCATAGATTTCCTCACCAAGCCTCCCCCTAGCTAGGGGATTCTGGAAGTCAAAATCCACACATCTTATTGTTGCTGAGGTTAGGAAACACTGACCCTTTCTGCAGATGGATTTTCAACTTCAGAAACAGAAGATAAACTGAAGAAGCAAACACACAAAAGTTCTGCATTGTTAAACTGTAGAATAAGTGTAGGGAAGATATTTTGTGTTTTAGCTACTGATACTATGATGAAACTGTCTAATGTTTTTTCTTTACTTTGCATGGCACAAAAGATAAGGCAGAGTCATCTTTGCTTGGCATGTGCCCTATGAACTTGGGTTTCTTAAAGTGTTCTTAAAGCATTAAGCAACATGTGTTAAAAGATCTCTTCCATTTTCCTGACTTATTCTACCTTGAGCTTCATCATAGGGCAACAGGAAAAGATGAAGGGTGCACTGAAAACTACAAGCTATTTTACTACCATAGCTTGTTTTGGGATTTCTTTTACAAAACAAAAAACAAAAACAACACTGTACAGTATTTCTTACCTCACATCCATCACAGACAACAGGCATGAAAAACTGGGACCTCAGCATCCACAGAAGAAGAATAGTCCTAAGAGAGAGGGTTATTATTAAAGAGTTGGCTTTGTGGAATAGCCTGACATCTTCTTTGTGGCAGCACATTAGATATTCAGCAACCATAGTCTTAATAGTAAAATTTAGAATTTAAATTTAATAGAACTATCCTTCTCATATTTTTAATCCCCTCTTAGTCACAAATTGGATTTCTTGAATGAATGTGCTGTTAGGTATCTGAATAGGTATTCTAAAGAGAGAACCATGGCCCTTCAAATACTTTATGTAATATTTTTATAGAACTCGTCATATGTACAGTGGAATTTGGCAGCTATAATCAATTTCAATAAATAATAATCATACATTTCAGCATAATCCATTTCTGTGGGTGAATAAGATTTTCTCAGGTACAGTAAGCAATAAAGAAGAAGCATGGCGATATGGAACTTGCAAACACAATATAAAGAGAGAAACTGAGCAGTATTAGAAAAAATCTGATATGACATGTTCTGGCATATATCACTAGAAGTGCTCACTATGTCAATCTTCCTGATATCCATGAGATTGTTCATTCAGATAACTCAGATTATCTTTGGATACCTACAGATGCATCACAAACAACTGTAGGAGCAAATCCTTTCACTGAATTGCAAACTTATTGGTCTCCATGCCAATTTGCTTACAATTTTGTAGATGGCTTGTGTAAGGACAGAGTCTCCTTTGAAACTGGATGACTACATGGATACATCCATGTGGTTTTCTTAGTGACAATATGGTTACCTACCTTGTTTCCACAGATAGATATCTATGAAAAATATCTATGAGAAGACTGTTGTCATTTGAGAGATATGGGAGGGGGCATAATAGGCATATTTGTGCTCTAAAGAGCACATATTTGTGCTCTAAATTCCCTCTATTTTTTTCTGAAATATTTATTTATTCAATAGCTACCATATTTTTGGTCTATAAGATGCACTCCCCCCCCAAAGAGGGTGGAAATGTCTGTGCATCTTATAGACCGAATGTTGCCAAAGCCCCAGCCACTTGCCAGTCCCCACCCTTTGGCCTCTGTCTCTCAGCAATTTGCCTTCTTGCAGCAAACAGCAAATAGCCTAATCAGCTTCAGCACAGCCATATTTAGCATGAGCAGTTGATTGGCAGTTGGATCGGCCTCCTGGAATACTGCTGATCACCTATACCAGGGTGCAGGAATTGCCCATCACTGCCATCACCATCGCTGCCTATTGCCGCCTCTACACATTCCATTTCTGGCCTCCACACATTCTGTTTTCAGCCCATTCAAGGTAGTAGAGCTTGCCACCACAGCCTGGAACAGGTCAAAATGGGGTGCATGAAGGCCGAAAATGGGGAACAAGGAGGTGGCGATAGGGGGTCACAATTGGTCAGCGACGGCAATGGGCAGTGATGATCCCCACAGCCTGGAACAGCTGATCTGCAGTATTCTGGGAGGCAGATCCAACCTCCAATCAGCTGCTTGTGCTAAATTAGGCTGTGCTGAAGCTGACCAGGCTGTTTGCTGTTTGCTGCTAGGAGGCAAATTGCTGGGAGGCAGAAGCAGATTTTTTTTCTTGTTTTCCTCCCCAAAAGCTAGATGCGTCTTATGGTTTGGAGCATCTTATACTGTGAAAAATACAGTGTATCTGCCCATCTCAACCAGTAACTTTGATTTTACAAAGCATAATGAGATTCTAGTCATGATCATTTCATGGCTTCAAAACTGTAGCTATAATGTACATTGGATCTGTGAAAAGGCCCTAACTTGGTCACTTGTTTCATGATAATTATTTATTCAATAAACATCCCATCTTCATATAGTACAATACAAAGTGTTGTACAGAATGATCCTTCTTCCTATTTTCATCCTGATGTGCTACAATTAATTTATTTTTTTCATTTTTCTCCTAAATTGTGTTATCTTTATAAAAATAAAATGGATAGAGAGGTATAGTTGATTCATAACCACCTAGTCAAGTTCATGGGGGACATAATCTTGGACTTTCCCAGTCCTAGTTCAGAATCCCGCCCTTTGCCCTACAGTAGCTGTAGCATAAATCAAATATTTATCATTTTGATCATACAAACTGAACAGTACATACAGAAGTTGGGTAAATAATTATATATTGCATGAGACTCTATTTCAGCATTCCTTTATCAAGGTCCAATCAGCCTAACTATTTTAGTCTAGTTCCAGATTCCTCCATATTTATTAAATCATCCATAGGTTGTCATAAAAACTCGACAATACTGTTGAATTTCAACAACTACTAAAAACAGAATTACAAGCTGATTCACAGTGCTAGGCTTGGTGAAGGTATGTTAGTACACCTATAGATGTTCTAAATAATGTGGCCAGTAATAATTGAAAGGGCATAATATGAAACTATATAGGATTATGCTACTTTATTTTAGCTATTCTTGTTCAGAAGCTACATAAATAATGATATTTTCCTCTGAGTTTGACTTTGCGTTAAGGCAAAAAAGACTTGTTTCTTTCCATTTCTTTCCCATGCTCATTTCCCCACAATCACCTGCTTTTTTTAGATTTATTCACATATTGGATCACACATTATATTTAGTTTAATAGCCTATTAAAAACAAAGATGTTAGTTTTATAAGCGGGGGCATATTGAAGAAACAATCCTCAACAAATTATCTGTGGTAGGGAAATAATAAATATCTTAGCAGGTGTCTGACTGAATATCTGACTTTGTCTGGGCTGAGAAGATTAAAAGGATCAACTCTGGTCACTACATGGATAGGAGACTACCAGGAAATCTCAAGTCTATATTGGGAAGACAGAAAGGGTAGGGAAGTGCTACCTATATTGGGAAGACTCTGGAAGAAGGTAGAAAAAGAAAGTAGAAATCCATTTGCATTTTGCTGCCAAGAAAACATGAAGGTGTTCATGATGTTATAAGTAAATTCAAAATAACCAATGGAGTCTAACTGTTTAATGTAGAATTAATCCTCTGGCACATAATTTAAAGTTTAAGTCTCAGAAATTGCATATGACCTTTAATCAAAAATATCAGTCTACCAAGTTATAAAATATTGACTTTAGAAATCCACAACAAGCTTTTCTGGGCCAATGAACTTATGTTTTATATATACCGATCTAATAATTTCTCACTTAAGGAAAACTTCAAATGTTACCTGCCACAGACTTAAATAAAGATATTTGTTCATTTTTGCTTTATTTTAATTTAATGTTATATTTAAGCCCTAATCTAAATTTTGAGAATAATTAGCTCTATAATATGAGTCCAACCAAGGAGAAAATAAAATTGAATGTTTTTTGAAGACTCTTCACATACTAATTCCAAAACATGTTTTCTACCCTCAGTTAAAGTTAGATAACATACCATAACTTCATGGGCACCAATAGCTAGGAAGGAAGAAACTATTACTTGATGACTTAGATGGCATTTTGCCCAAGAATATTTTACTCATGTGTATTGGACCATATCTATTGGAAAATTTATTCATGTCTATTGTAACTTAGTTACAAAAATACCATTACTGCTTAATGGTGTTGCCTGAACATATTGGCTTTCACAATCTTATTTGTACAAGATTAAATTAAATTGGGTGTGTGTGTGTGTGTGAATCTAGCCTGTGATGTCAGATTAAGTAGAAAGGATAACTTTCTTCCCAGTTATGACATATTCCAATTTGTTTCAGAATGAATGAACAAATGTTGATTGTTTAATACTTACATTTCCTGAATCTGGGTTCACTATTAGAATATTGTCATATACATGAAGAATGTCCTTATTTGTGCAGAGCGCTGATGATTCAACTAACAGAAAACTGTTGGTGATATTAGAATCTAACAGTCCTTTATGAACATGTTTTAGAGAGTCAGCGGATAAACCTCAGTACTATCTATATTGCCTGAGGACCAGGTTAGATGTGATATCTTTATAATTCACTGTTTTTTATAAGTAACTTTTAATGGGAGTGGGATGCATGATTAGAATCCTGTCATGGGATAAGGGGATTTACATCTCCGTTTATGATCGCAGTTTGGTGAGATGATGGTGATGATGATGATATGCTTTTGTTATTTTCCTCCTTCTTCTGCTCCTTTTTCTCCTTCTCCTTCTCCTCTTTCTTTTTCAATTGTGGAA